AAGGAGAGTCCCACTTATCTACTTGACGTGAACGCTCGCCCGTGTGTCTTACAAATCAGCCCAGATCACGTTTAGGACGCGCGTAAGCTCATTGTTATGCTTGTTGCAATAATAAGATGCATGTCAACTATTGGTACAATTATAGGAATATATTACTAGAATATAATATCCAGTAGTCGTAGTGAGTATTATTAATGGGATTAGCACTCTTAGCAGTGGCATATAACCTCTGGCAGCAGTATCCTAGCCCAAACTTAGTTAACTCTGACACAGCTTTTGGTGGACAGAGGTGAGAGGGCGGAAACCAAGAATAGTCCTGATGTGCTCCGGGCCTCAAACATGTCTTTACTCGGAATAACATAAACCCAGGTTCACACTCCCTGCTGAGATTGAGGGGCTATGAGTAGACGTTATGTAAAGTCCAAGCTACAGCTAGATACCGTAGTAAGCCTATATGTAGTCTAGAGACGGCAAACTTTACGACATAAAGGCATGGAATGACTTGTGCTATTATTTAATAACGCTTTATTTAACCCATGGACTAATCACTTTGCCTCACACAGATTGGAAGTGCATACTGGGGTGCCGACTTCTTAAAAAGCACACACAGACCATATTATATTTACTGGCCTTAGCAAGCATGATTATTGGAATTAGCACTTAAGCGTAGGCACGTACTCCTAGCAGCAGTATCGTAGTCCCAACCTAGTAGAAGCGGACACAGCCTGATGGATAGAGTTGACAAGGTGGAAACCAAGGTAAACTCTGCTGTACTGAGGGCCCAAAACATGTACTACTCAGAATATTTTAAGCCCAAATTCACACTCCTTGTTGAGATCAAGGGGGTATGAGTCCCAGTGTTGACTTTAATCAGCGTCACCTCTGACAAATGGTAGCGTCAGTGTTAGTACCAGCACTTCTAACGTGCAGCTATATTGTTAGTTAGTAATAGTAAAAATAGGAGTAGCCGTATCCGTCTCGGCCTCCTTGAGCCTATCTTGACACCTACTGAAGGTGAGTGAAGGTTAATAGTGCGGTAGTACCCACGCAAGATCTTCTGTCAATTAAGACTAAATTAGATGGTGTTTCTGGCTTGCATTGGAGAAAGCGGCCAACGCCGGGTCCCGTTTGGTCTT